CCCAACATGTGTGGGGAGCCCGGGGAGAGCTCAGATGTGGGGAAACACCCTGGGAAGCGACGTTACAAGTGCAGCGACTGCGGGAAGAGTTTCAGGTTCCACTCCAGGTTTGTCACCCATCGGCGCAGTCACACCGGGGAGAGACCCTACGAGTGCAGCCACTGTGGGAAGAGCTTCAAGTTGAACTCAGGTTTGATCCGTCACCGGAACATTCACACTAAAAAACCTTATAAATGTGATAATTGTGAGAAGAATTTCATAGATGAGCCAAGTTTGACCCATCACCGGCGCATCCACGCTGGGGAGAAGCTCTATCAATGTGGTGGTTGTCAGAAGAGTTTCTATCAACACTGGATGTTGAAACGTCACCAACGGATCCACAGTGAGGAGAAACCCTACGGATGTTCTCAATGTCAGATGAGCTTCAGGGAGAAATCCAGCTTGAAAAGACATCAATCCATCCACACCGGGGAGAAACCTTACGAGTGTCACCACTGTGGGAAGAGCTTTTGTGTCAGCTCAGCTCTGGTTCGTCACCAAACCTTCCACACCCAGGAGAAACCCTTCAACTGTGGTGATTGTGGGAAGAGCTTCAAGATGAACTCGACTTTAAAACGTCACCGACGGATCCACACTGGGGAGAGACCTTATAAATGTGAGGAATGTGGGAAAAGCTTCCATCAAAATTCCAGTTTGATTTGTCACCGCCGGCTTCATACTGGAGAAACTCCTTATGGGTGTGAGGAATGTGGGAAGAGCTTCAAGCAAAATTCCTCTTTAACCCGTCACTTGAGTACCCACAAGAGAGAAAAACCTTTTCCATGTGGGAAATGTGGCAAGAGTTTTAAATTAAACACGACTTTAAACCGTCACCGACGTCTCCACGGATCAAACAAACCCTACGAGTGTCCCCAATGTTCAAAAAGCTTCAAGGAAAGTTCAGCTTTAATCCGTCACCAACGTATCCACACGGGGGAAAATCCTTATCGATGTGAGAAATGTCAGAAAAGCTTCAATCAAAAATCAACTTTATCCCGGCACCGACTCACCCACACCGGGGAAAAACTTCACCCCTGTGGGAAATGTGGGAAAAGCTTCTTGATCAAACCAACTCTGCTCAGGCACCAAAGGATCCACCAGAGATAATTTACACTTTTTGGGGACACCCAGAGAAGGGATTGGAGTGATTTTAGCTCAAAAAAACCCCCCAATCCCAACAGTTGGTTTGAAAAATAACAAATATATTTATTTTTTCTTCTCAAATCCCAATTTTTTTCCTTAAAATTCCTCCATTTCTATTAAAAGTTCATTTTTATAAATTATATTTATTTTTTTTCTTCTCAAATCCCAATTTTTTTTCCTTGAAATTCCTCCATTTCTATTAAAAGTTCATTTTTATAAATTATATTTATTTTTTTTTCTTCTCAACTCCCATTATTTTTCCTTAAAATTCCTCCATTTCTATTAAAAGTTCATTTTTATAAATTATATTTATTTTTTTTCTTCTCAAATCCCAATTTCTTCTTTAAAATTCCTCCCTTTCCACTAAAAGTTCCTTTTTTAAATTATTTTTTAAATTTTTTTTTTATTAGTCTCCATTTAAAACCCCATTTTCTTCCTCAAATTCTCATCCAAAAATCTCCCCCCCGACCTTTTTACTCGCCAGCAAAACAATCCAAGGGGAAAAGTGGGGAAAAGGGGCAAAAAAAGGGGGGGAAATGGGTAAAAAAAGG